CACCTTGATGATGATCGTGTTGATAGAAAATCTTAAATGAAGGGGGGCCCAATCATTTAAAATGCTTCCAAATTTTCATAAAATACATTCGATACATTCGATTGACTTTAAAGTATTTACGAACGATATTAACATTTAAATTTGAAATAAAATACCATAATATTTAAAGTAAAGTATTAATCGACCATTCACAACAGCTTGTTGAGGTAGACAAGTTTATAAAACACTTCAACTTAAAAAGAGCGAACATCTTGTCGAGATATCATTAAGATTCATTCTTAAATTATCTCTTTCTAATAAGGATGTGACACTTGTCCTCTAATAAATGGTCTCATCGCCAAATGACACCACATGTAAACAGTTTTGATCGGGACCCCCTAACTGTGTAACATTATCGCCAAATGATATTATTAAATTATGGTAATGGTGAGAGCTCGCATGTTCTCCAACTATGCTAACTCTTTGAGTAATGAATCAATAAGATATGATTGATAGAGCACAAATCTCTATGTTATCTAAAGTGAATTTAAATTTGTCCCCTTAGACAAATATTCACCCCAGGTCTACAAGGTACCTTTGGAAGATGCAACCTATGACTGTCGACAAGGATCCGTCTGTCAGGTTGGGTCGACTACCTCCTCTGACTAAGTAGACCAGGAACCATGATGACCCAAGAAGACGGAACCATGGGATCTTGATCGGGTTCATCATCATGCCCCCCCACTATTTGCTTAAGTGTAAGTGGTGAATTTCAAAATTTAAATATTAAAATTTAAATACCTAAACATGTTGCTACTATATGTCGGATACTATGCATATGTTGACAACAAGCCTTAATCAAAAGTTCTCACTTGTTATTAAGAGTGATAATTAACTATAGGGGTTTTGTGCCTATAGGAAACCTAAACTTAGATTATAAAGTCCTCACAAAACAAGGGCGAAATTTCTGGGTAATGAATGTCTTATCTAAAAACCAACATACCTTCTGAAAATTTGCCCTGGAACTTTAATGTTAAAACTCTCGTTGACAACCCGAAAAAAAAAAAGAAAGAGGCCACGAAGAAGCTGTGCCGTGAATTTTCAAAGCCCACATTTACAATATTCCTATGTAATTTCATAAAATTATTTAAAATATTATTATGACATTAAATTGATTTAGATATTGTTTTTATTCGAAGTTGCTCTTAAAGTTTAAAAGAAAGAAGAAGAATGCACATACTAATTTTCTTTTAGCATCAAAGCCAATTCAATGTTTTATCTATAAGCAATGTGCTGTTCGTTTGAACGGTTATTATGGGTTGACAGAAACATTTAATTCTATTTGATTAATTCAATTCAACAAATTCTCTTTCTATTAGCATCAAAGCCAATTCCTTTTTTGAATTTCTATATTTAGAACTTTTTTAAAGTAATATTAATGGCAATCTTAGTAATTTAATCCCATTTTTTAAAAATTGCTTTTATTGTAAAATGCTTTCTTAATAGAAAATAAGGCTTTGTTTGAGACAGTTTTTTTATTGTTTTCTAAAACAGTTTTGAGTATAAATATTTTTTGAGCCAAAAACTTTTGTACTAGAAAACTGTTTTAGAAAGCAATAAGAAAGTTGTCCAAAGTGAAATCTAAAAGTATATGAATAAAAGGATTTCTATAAAATAAAGGGCAAGTGTAAAATTTTGTGAAAATCGCTAATGAATCGTTGTCTCAATTTCTCATCGAGAGAAAAATTTCAAGTGTTGATCAAAATTTTTCTAAGCTTGATAGATGAATAGGATCATTTACAAGCAATAAGGTTGTGTACAATGAATGTGTGTGTGTGGAAAAAATATTAGGTGCGGAGTGCACACGGGGGAGCATCGTCTGCACACACACAGGGTACCAAGCGGTACCTAGTGGTACCTAGCGGTACCGAATGGTATCTAGCTAGATTTTATATTAGTGTGCGGACGGTTCTCCCCGTCTGCACTCCGCACCTAATAATTTATCGTGAGAGAGAGAGAGAGAGAGAGAGAGAGAGAGAGGAGAGAGAGAGAGAGGAAAAAATCTACATAATTTGTCTTGATGATTTTTGTAAGTAAAAAAAGTTTTTGAATGGGTATTTTATATCTTACTTAATGATATTTTAGATATTTTTTATGCTCTAGGTGTTTGATTATTATACTTTGCCTACTTATATTAAATGAGGAATATTAAAAGATAACTCATCATTCCATACAGCAGACTACGAGACCTAGCAAATTATGTATTTAGATGGTATGTTATACTAAGTTAAATAAAAAATTACATAAATTATACAAAATAAAAGGGATAGATGATGATTAGGCACTTTCAAATTTGCCTAAAGTTTTATAAATTAATGAAGAAAGAAAAGACAAATAATTTGAAAATGCCCACAACTCTTGGAACCTATTAGGGGAGAGAGGGAGCAACTAAAATATTCTTCGCTCATTTTGTATAATCCTAATACTCTAGGAGGAGTACTAATAGAATATGTCAGCCCCCAATGGCCTAATAATTACATATGAACTATTATGACTCACGATAACTCTTTAAATCACTCTAATTCTGTCAATTACTTACCCCTTGACGGTGAACTTTCCCTCGTGGTCGAAACACTGGCATGATTTGAGCTTATGAAGAATTGTGAAGTGGTAGGTTTGGTGTAAGTTAAGGTATGATTGAGCGCTCAAACTTTGTGCACATTGGTTGGAAAAACAAAAATTTAAGAATCATGTTGGACTAGATTCGAGCGCTCATTATGCCAAAAGGAAATACAAAAAAAAAAAAAAGAATGATTGTTGATAGGTGTAAAGACTTCAAGCCGAGGCAACAATATATGACAACATAGATAGATCTAATAGCGACGGCTTGGAGATGGAACATCACATGATATTTGCTGGATCTAACAGAGAAGGTATCATACAAACTTGGGGTAGCCATATTTTGTAGAATAAGGTGAACCTTTGCAGCTTGGAAGTAGGAACAGACAAATTTGTTAGTTGAGATCGGGAAAATGAAAGTGTTGGATCTAAGTTTTTCTCTGGGTGAAACTTGACCTTACTAGCAAGCAAGATCAAGAGACTCAAACCCAAAGACCTTTGGTAAGTATGGAAAGAAGCAGAAATTTTTGTGGAAAATATATAACCAGCTCAATAGCGCAGTTAAAATATGTCTCTTCATCCTCTATTTATAAGAATCCAAGGGATATAGGGAAGGTTATACAAAAAAAAAAAAAAAAGTTCAAATGGACTAACATGGACATGTGTCTAGCTCTAATAGATGTTTGGTTTGGTTGTTATTTTTTTGTTCAATTCCTTAGCCTACAGGCCACTTCCCTTGTGCGAAGTGTACATGGGTGAGATGATGGAGGGGAGTCCTCAAATTGGTTGAGCAGGAAGGACTACTATTAAGAAATTCTTTGGTAGTGCTAATGTTCTCTTCAATGAAGTCCTCGAGGCCTGTCTTGATAGGAGGGACAAGTTTACTTGAGTTGCAAGGATAATGGACTCCAAGATCAGCTAAACAAGTGGAGGCAAGTTTGAGACTTCTTTGGATGATCATTCCTTATAGCTAGGATGATGAATTCCCTTGATGGCCCATCACTCAAGGTGACAACGAGTTGCTTTGGTGGTGTGCTTCCCATAGGAGGGGCGAGTGCTCCCACTTTGAAGGGTCCTTTGCAAGCCTTCAATATTTCTCAGATAGGCAACTCCCGTCTGATTTCTTTATTGAATTGAAGATGATTCCCCTTATGCGAGTCTTCATTGCAAAGTTTTATGGGATTTGAGATCACCCATTGAGACTTATTAAATAGCTGTGAAGCACATGAAAAGGCATATACGACTATATATTTTGTTTTTAAATTCAATTAACCCTTTGGATGGTGTCATATAAATGACAAGTGAATTAATAGCAATCATTCATTGTAGCTACTAAATAGTTAAAAGAAAAGTAAATACAAAGTTAATATCCTATTTTTACCATAGTCCCGATTGCCATGCTAATTCCTCATAATGATAGTGATATGATGCTACTCACATTTTTTTCTTATAAAAAGTGATCATGTAATTAATACTATTGTACTTTGAGTATTTAGTTTCATATCAACATGTGAATAAGAGATAATGGACTCGTTGAGTTGGCTATTTCGAGCATGAAATTTGTGAGGATGGTAACAATTTTCATTTGTAAGTGTGAGAGGGTAGAGATGCAACTTGAATATTTGAATAGTAAGGCAAAGGACACTAATGTGGGTCCCCAAATAATCCAAGGGTTATTGGGCCCATCGCCCATATCTCGACAAAGAAGCTAAAGGTAGAGCCTAGTGTGGTAAAGGCAACCAGAGTGTTGCTGAAAAAATTCATGGACCCTCCAAAACCTACCACTAGAGTTGAGGCTGGAGTGAGTATGATGAGAGAAGTATTCTCCATGAGTATGAAGGATGTCCCTCTAATGTTGAGTAAGGTAATACGAGTCCTCTTAAGTTTCCAATGGAGGAACCGATTATGAAGGAGGTAGTTTCTACTAAGGTCATTGTCCCCTTAGCCAGGGTCGAGTTAATTGCACCCCCAAAGGAAGGTAAGAAAAATTACTTGAAAGCCTTGGAATAAAATTTTCTGATGCCCCAACATCTTCCGCCATTAGCAAGCCCATAGTGCGCTTCACGTTTAGCTAGTTACTTGGTCATTCATCAAGATAGTTTGAGGTTCAGGCATTGGCATAGTGGGTGTTTGGCTTGTATATTGTGATAATGATCCTCTATAACAGACTACTTGAAGTTTCTTCATTTATTTATTTTTATAAGGCCTTCTTTTTTGCGGATCCTTCATTATTAACCATAGGTGTGTCTCCTACATTGTTGTGTGCTCCTTCTACCTATACTGCAAAAAGGGACAATCAATAGCAAAATAATCTTGCAATATGAAGCATTCCAATCATCAGATGGTATCATTTTTTGATGCAAAAGTCATTTCTAAGAGTAGTGCAAGGGAGCAAAACAATGATGCAATATGAGGTAGAGTTCATGGTTCTCACGAAATATGCTCCCAAATTGGTTAGTACCCTTGAGGAGAAGTGCTATAATTTTCTGAGAGTCTTGAGAGAATGTATATGGCACTCGTTAGTGCCATTTGATATTCATGACTTTTTTGAACTTGTGGAGAGAGCACGTTTGGTGGAGAACAACTTGATGTCCACCCAAAATGTAACATCAGGTTTGCTCATATCGTCCGGGCCGATCTGGGATCGTCCCGGGACGATCAGTTCAGATGTTGTTCCAGATTTTGTACAGAAGTTCCAGGAAAATTTTCCTGTAGGTATCGTCCGGGCCGATCTGGGATCGTCCCGGGACGATCAGAGCATGGCACAAGTCAGAGAGCAAATCGTCCAAGAAATTAATTATCGTCCTGAGAAATCGTCCCAGGCCGATTGGATTTTGTTCAGATCGTCCAGGACGATCGTGCGATCGGCCGGGCCGATCAGAGTATTATTTAGCTGAAATCAACTCATTTTGAAGAGAGAGAAAAATCAAAAATATCTAAATCATTTTGAGGAGAGAGAAAGTCGTGGGAAAAAGTGCAAAAGTTGAATTCTGGGCAATGCCGGGCCGTTTTCGTTCGTCGAGACAGTTCAGGAAATTGGTGTACGCAAGGTAAGACACATTCCGCCTTTCTCAATTTTCAGAACGGTGAAGTTTGAACGATTTTTCTGTCCGAATTTCATTTTCGTTAGCGAATTTCATCCGTATTTTCCGACTGGTTCAGTTTTTACCGCGTAACTTTTGATATGTTTCTGAGGTGCCGAGTGCGCACATTTTGATTATTTTCTAGAGATTTTTGACCGGATAGTTTTGATTTGGCAGCGTTTTCTGTTGACTGTAAATTTTCACGATGTTTGTAAATGTTGTGGCAGTTGAATAAAAGTCTTATAATGTTGTTGTGAATGTTCTGTGGTAATTTGGTGAAATTCTGATTTGGTGAATTTTGTGTAAATTTCATATACTGCCGTTATGCCACCGGATTTTCGTACGATTTCTGAAATTGTCCGGATTTCTTCTGAAATGACATGATATGATTGTGTGCTATAAAAAGGGACTTATAAGGGGTCAGGATCCTGTGAGATCCTGTCTGTGTCAGGGAAAATCTGAAATGAGCTCTGAAATTTGAAAACAAGTTTTGTTCCGGATCCGATGATAAGTTCTGTTCTGGTGCTATAAGCACATCTGTTCTGGTGCCATGAGCACAAATGGAGGCATAAGGGGCCAGAATCAAGGAGATTCTATCAGTGTCTGGGAAGGGAGGCATAAGGGGCCAGAATCCGTTGAGATTCTGTTAGTGTCAGGGAATCTGTTCTGACTTTTGTTCTGTTCTGATTGTGATATATTCCGATTTGGTATATTCTGAATTGATATGTTCTGATACGATTTTGATCTGATTTGATCCGATTATGTTATGTTCTGATTTGATCTGATCTGTACGATTCTGTTCTGTTCTGATTTGATCTGATCTGTATGATTCTGTTCTGTTCTGATTCGATATACGATTCTGTTGATCTGATTTTTGTACGGATTTTTGTCTGATGTGTTTGATGTGGATTCTGATTGGAGGTTTAATGTCTTGCTGAGCTGTTGTAGCTCATCCTTGTTTTCTGCATGGTTTTAAGGTTCTGGGAAAGGGAAGGAAGTCTTGGACTAGGAGTTCAGAGTCTGATCCGTTATAGGTATTTTGCACTTTTGATTTTTGTACAGTCATGACTTTTCTGTTATGCTTTTCCTTCTGTCTGAAAGCCATGAGCTGTATTTGTATATGATTCTTTTGAGGAAGAAAAGATAGATGATCTGTTCCGCTGTATTTTGATGTTATAGTAGCTCTGTGTGTCTGTTTCTGTGTATAATGATTGGAAGAAAGTTCTGAAACAAATTCCAAAGCTAGATCCTGGAATCAGTTCAGTCAGATTGAGTCTGGCCACGACCTAATGCGAGCGGGATCCGTCCCGATCGGGTTGGGTCGTGACACAAAATATGTAGGATGCCAGTATGATGAGGTTTGGAGGATGACTTGATGTGTACTTTATGCTTTAACAAATGTGTTTCAACATCTATTATATAATTTACCATGATAATTATAAATTGTATAACTAATATGATTTACAATAACATGAGTATCATAAATTACGTTTAGTGTAACTGATATATATGCATGAATAAATTCTCTATGTCAAGAAACATATTAAAGGATAAGAGCTCGTGCAACAATAAATCAAGGTGATAATGCTTCTACTACATGATACTTTCATTAAGAACAATAAGCAACATCCAATATAAATACATAATAACAAATAAGATTGAAAGTACGATTGATAACCTAATATCTATGAACCTTGTACAAGTAACACGGATAACACTCCTAACAAAGAATGATATGCCTATCTAATAATAAATATAATTACTTACCTTGTAGCTATCAAAATGAAAATTCTTCTTCAATTGAGGTATATATCATTAACATGCATTGAGTGAAGATGGAATTGAAGGTTCTATGTAAGAGAGTCTTCAATTATTATTTGTGACTATAAACATGAATTAAACAGTTAATAACTTAAGACCTAATTTTTCGAACATTGTGTTATTCGTTAAGTAAAGCATCGAAAATCATTAGGCAAATCTAATTGGCATGGGCTACTCTAAGTTATCAGAATACCAAAAAAATCAAAACTAATCTCTCTAACTCTATCATCCTAAAATATAAAAGATGTTATTTGAAATCAAAGAAAATGTGTTAAACCTAAATTAACAAAGTTTTGATTTAAGAAGATAACTTGATTTAGTAAATATGCTCTCATTACATAGGTGAAGGCGAATAAGAAGAGAAGAAAAGAAGGAATTTAGGATTTACGGAGGAGGGCTTTCTTCAATATTGACATTAGGTCGAAGGAGGTGGAAGGCTGAGAACTTTCTCCTCCTAGGGAGAAGAGAAGAAGAACGAGGAGAAGGAAGGGATTCAACGGCTGTTGCACACGAGAAAAATGAAAATATGGATGTTGGAGTGATGCTCCAAGATGTCTTCTCCTAGGGAGAAGAGACAAATTCCTTTGTAATTTTCAACTATGCCAAAGCTATAATAATTTTTCTAAAGAGAATTTTGTGTTTGAGAATAATATTCAATAAATTAAGCAGAAGCAACAAATAGGAAACATTTTGGAGAGAAGAAGTATTTAATTTTATAACATTTTGCTTATTATTATTTTGTTGGGATGCTCTATCTTACTAACTATTACAGAAAAACTTACTCAAAATAAAATAAAATATTTGTTATAGAAACATGCGACTAAGCATATATATATATATATATATATAGTTATCACATAAATTATATAAATATGGAATAAATTTATAAAATAAAAATATAATTATTTATAAAATAAAAATAGATTTCAATTTATGAAGAAATACTTGCTAAGACTTTTTTGCCCTTTAAAAAGGCATCCTTCTCTGTATTCGAGTCCCACCTTCACAGATCAAGCAAGATGGCAAATGCTTACTCACCGCCATCAGCAGCCGCCGGTGAAATAACCGGCAGCCACTCAGTCGAAATAAACGAAAATTTGAATAAAACCACCGAAGTTAACTCCATCGACGACGTTTTGGAGCGCTACATGTCCGCCAGCACCCCCAACCTTCTCTTCCCCTTCCTCGCCTCCCTCACCTGGATCTTTGATTCCCAGCAAAACTTTGTCAATGTCTTCTCCGATAACCCACCGCCATGGCATTGCACCTCCTACACTTGCGATTTCACCACACCATGTAACCTCCCATCGAACACCTCCTGGTCCTTCTCCAAACCCCGCAAAATCTCCATCATTTCTGACTTCTCCCTTGAGTGCTCCTCCCCTGTTCTCCACGCCCTCCCCGCTTCTTCCTTCTATGCCGGATGTCTCGTTGGCGGCATCTCCCTCGCCACCCTCGCCGACTCCCGCCTCGGCCGCAAAAACAGCCTCGTCTTCTCCTCCTTCATCATGTCTCTCACCGCCGTCCTAACTGCCTTCTCTCCCAACCTCGCCGTCTACGCTCTCCTCCGCTTTGCCTGTGGCTTCGCTCGCGCCAACGTCGGCACCTCCGCTTTCGTCCTTTCCTCTGAACTCGTCTCCCGTCGCCACCGCAACCGCGTCAGCATCCTCACCTTCATCTTCTCCACTACAGGCTTCCTCAGCCTTCCCGCAATTGCCTTCTTAAATAGAGCATACTCCTGGAGAGTACTCTATCTCTACACCTCAATCCCCTCGCTCTTTTACAGCATTTTTCTCCATTTCTTCATGACGGAATCCCCTCGTTGGCTTCTTTTGAAAGACAAGAAAAAAGAAGCCATTGAAACACTAAAAAAGCTCTTACCTTTAATTGAAACAGTGAGCTTCTCAGACTTGGCGGTGACACGCTCCGATAAAACAGAGTCAAGCGATCTGTTCTCGGCGGCGAGGATGTTGTGGGAGAAGCGGTGGGCGTTGCGTCGGCTGGGATCAATTATAATAGTGAGCTTCGGCGTCGGAATGATGTACTATGGAATGCCCTTTAATCTCGGCAGTCTCGACGCCAACTTATATATAAGCGTGGCGCTGAACGCAGCGGCGGAGCTTCTATCGGCGTTCATTGTCTTCTTTCTCGCCAGTGCGGTGAGCCGACGAAGATCTATGGTGGTGTTAATGGTTGTGAGTGGCGGTTGCAGCCTTGCTTGTACGGCAATAGGCGGATGGTTGGCGGTAGTGGTGGAATTAGTTGCGTTCTTCGGGGTTTATACGTCGTTAAGCTTGGTGATGATTTATAATGTGGAATTGTTTCCAACGTGTGTGAGGAACTCTGCACTAGCGGTGTTGAGGACGGCGGTGGTGCTCGGCGGGGTGGCAGCACCAGCATTGGTGGCGGCGGGGAGGAGGAGAAAGCTTTTTTCTTTTGGGGTGTTTGGGATAGTTATCATTTTCTGTGGGTTGTTTATTGTGTTTTTACCAGAAACGAGGGGGCGTGCGCTAAGCGACACAATGGAGGAGGAGGAGCATAAGATGATCCATGGCAGAAATATCATCTCCTCTTCATAATCTTTTTTTTCTTCTATTCTATATGTAAATCATGATGATTATCATTTCCTTGTAATTCATAATGTCTTGGGCATCAACAAGGTGAACCCATATATCCTCTACTCTTTATTCTTATTTTAAGATATCAAAAACATCAATCAATGGTTATCAAAATTAAGATCGTAATCAGACGACGATTTTAAGAGGATCATAGTCAGTAGATAGTGGTCTGAGAATCATAGTAGATTGATAATTATCTTATAATTATAATTTGACGATGGTAGTTGGAGGAACGTAATAAGGTAACATTAGTCGAATGATCGCAGTAGGGCAATAATGACAAGAGAATTATAGTTATACAACGACGGTAGGGACATCAGAGCAGGATGGCGGTGGCTAGATAACCTTATTTTTGAGCAAGATAGTCAGGGGATCATAGTTTGGGTACAAACGGATAATTATGAAGATTATTTTAAAATGAATAATATGAAAATTCTAAAAAATTTAAAAATTAAAATAATTCAGGTTGGCGACTCCGAGATTTCAAATATGGCGGCGTTACGAGCTAGCATGTGGTGCTGCGATGTTTGATCGCATATATATATATATATATATATATATATATAGTTGACTGTTTAATGGGTGACTTACTTGCCCAACGAGCATCCAGTTAGCATTTTAAAAAATAAATTTACAAGTATTGTAACAAGTTGCGCGTTGAATAGGCGATTGAACCAAAGTTTTATTTTTAAATATAAAAGTTATATCATTAATTCAAGTTTTTTATTCTAATAAATTATCATTATCTTTTTAAAAATGAAATGTCATTTTCTTAGTTGTAATTAAAAAAAACAAGTTCAATGTATGTTTATCTATAAATATTTTGAATTTAAACATGTAATCAGTTTTTAAAGTATATATATTCTAATTGGAATCCCTAACAAGCCTTATGATGTTAAATTTTAATAAATTATCTTTAAAATTAATGTGAAATTGATATCCATTTGTCAATATTAAATTATAAAATTAAAATATTTAAAGATTAACAATGATATTAAAATTAATGTAATTTAATTAATCCTTTCATTTAAAAAATATTAATTGATTTAAAAATAAAAGCATAAAAAAAGTGTACTGTAGCAAGTCACCCGTTCAATGGGCAACTTATAATACTGCATTTCATACATTAAAGAAAAAATAATTCCATTGATTCAAGATAAATGTGTTATTTGCATATAAGCAAGGGAGGCTAGCTATTAACACTAACATTAATTCATATGAGTTGTCTCTTAAAACATAATTTCATGTATAGGAGGGTGGGCCGACGAGTTTTTCTTAAAATAAAAGGTATGTGGTGTGATCTTAGTTACAACCTGTAACTAATGACCGAATTATGTTGACGGGTAGAGAGTGATGATCCTTTATAAATTATTGAAATTCGCCTAAAATGATAATTAATTTACTTAATAAATAATAAGTGTGATAGATATAACAAACCAATTAAATTTGAGCTTCTTATGGCCCTACTTAAGGAACTTTTATTATATCCAGTGAACGTACGCAGAGGAAGGTTCGATTTTAGGCAAAAAGTGTCTGTACCGAGTTTTTCGCGCATGTACCGAGTTTTTTCAAAAAACTCGGTACAGGCGCTTTTTAGCCTAAAACCAAACCTTCCTCTGCGTACATTTACTGGATAAAATAAAAGTTCCTACTTAAGACCTAAATTTATAATTTATGTGTTTTTTAATTCTAATAGTAACTATTTTATTTATTGATCTGAATTTTGAAATTAATAATAATAATATAAAAATACTAATTACAAAAAAATTGATTTTTTTAAATTTTAAAAAATATTAATTGTTAAAAATAATAATATCTATTTATTTTGTTTAATTTAGAATTTATGTGAAAAAAAATACAAATCAATTTATAATTGCTTACAAGGAATTTGTCTCAATTATTAATCTAAAGACACTTTTTTTTTTTTTTTTGCACAAAACTCATATAAGGGCTTATGTGTGAATTCATAAAAAAAGATTACAAGTTCTTAAAGCGATCAAATGCTCACTAAAGCTCCAAGAGCTATAATAATAATAATAATAATAATAAACTAAGGAGCCAATAATCCCTACTAAGATACAATATTAAAGGAAAAAAAAAAATAAAGGGTGGCATGGAGCCAACGCCCCAAAATAAGCCCATGCTCAAATAAAATTTGAAGCCCAATCAAATAATAGCCCCATCAATAGATCAACAAAGACAAAGATCCACAATTGCAAAAGATCATTCCAAATAATCTCCAAGAGAGAGTAAGCTCCCTCCAAAGCTCAGTCAGTACATACATCCTTGTTCCAATCCACCATTAGTAACTGAATCCTTAAAGATTTGCAATAAAAAATTTCTCACAAAGACTAGAACCCAATTGGATGATTAGAAAATCATAAAATAAATAATTAAATAAGAAAAAAATCCAAGACAAATACAAACTCCAATCCCCCAACCATATAGCCAAACAGAACTGCCCACAAATCATAAACCCAGAGATAGATCCAACAACAATTATCATCAACTCAACCCAAGCCAAAATAACAACCATAAAAAATAAGATTTATTATTCTGTGCAGAGTCCGGAGACCAATAAAATTACACCACGTCACCCCATTATTAGGTACCCAGCTCGGTACCCGCACTCGATACCTCTTGGTACCGCTGGGTAACCAATGCTTAACCGGACGGTTCTCCCGTCCGGTGTACGCACAAAATAATAGCTCCCAAAATAATAACAAAAAACACCAACAACTCATCGACCCAATAGAAAAATCAACTCCTGGCCACCATAACAATGAGCCAAAAAATAAAAACCAAAGCACCAAAAAAGCCAAAACAATACAACACCATTGAACACCGTCATAAAAATCAAAAGCCAAAATCAAGTTCATACAGAAAAAAATAACAGAAAAAAATTAATAGACAAACCCAACAAAAACACCAGCAAAGACCTTATTAATCTAAAGACAAATAGTATTCTCAATGGGTGGTGTTATTTATAGCATTTAAATTAGAGAGAAATCATCTTTGGCAATGTGTATAAAATTTAAAAGTAATATCCAGCTTAGGACCTATCGAAGTCACATGCTACAGGAAAAACAGCCAAATCCGGCGGTTATTTCCGGCGGTTTGGGTAATAATACCGGCGGTTTATAGTATTACCGGCGGCTTAGCGTCGGTCCTTACGCCGCCGGAAAAAATCGCGGTTTGGGTAATAATACCGGCGGTTTATAGTATTACCGCCGGCTAAGTCAAATCTAATACATCTACTCTCCTAACCGGATCATCAGAAGGCCTCCATTTTTTGTGACAAACCATGTAAACTGACTCTCTAATCTTATCTTCCATCAAATAAAAGAGGGGGGGGAGGGGCAAATGTCATGATTTCTAATAATATTTTATACATTTGCTTCAGAATTTGCTTAGCCCCCCTAAATAAATGAGGGCTAAAATCATAATTATAATTGCTACAGGTGGACTACTTAGCCCTAAAAAATGACTAAGAGCATGGCCAAGTGTGTGGTTGTGATGTGTACTTTCATTTATATATAAACTGTTTGGAAATTTTTATTAGGATAACCTCTCAGGAGAGTCTAGAATTTATTAATTTCAATTAATGTAATAATTTATAATATTGGTGAGAGTTATGAAAATGAAATTTGAGTTGGGATATTTTTATCCAACTCGAATTCCAAAGAAGAAGGCATCTTCAAAGGAAAGAGTCTTCTTCTATTTGGATGATCGAGTTTGGATGGCTTTTAGATATCCAAAGAGAAAAGGCAATACCCCTTGGAGGGGGGAATTGCCTCTTCATTTGAATATTCAAGCCAAAACGAATCCAAGGAGGAGAGATCCAAGGAGTCCAAGGATGAGAGATCCAAGGGATCCAAGGAGAAGAAGTCCAAGAAGACTGAAGAGCTGAAGACCTAATATCCTACTCAAAGTCATTTGCGTCATTTTTAGGTTTAGAAATCCGGGTTGTTGGCAATGGTGCCCGACCACTTTACTTTCTTGCAGACCCTATCTTGTAATTAAGGGCAGTTGGCCTATGGACGTTTATTTATTAGTTTGATTATGTTGATGTGTTTTATTTATGATTGTGTTCCTCTAGGGTTGCATGCTTTTTTTAGTTTATTGACAATCTGCATGCCGATTTTATTACCCATCGGGGAGTGCTGGCGAGAGCCGCTATCCACAATAGTTAGTCGTATGCATGATCCAATCTGCCCTTCCATCGGCCCATTTGCGATGAGCGCGGAGGCCCGCGATCGTCTCTACCCCTCAGGGTAGGTGTGGTCGTATACCCCTCCGTAATCTTGCAGCTGTAGCAATTTCCTTTCGGAGGTCCATAGTGATGACTCTTCATAGATTAGTGAAAGTCACCTAAAATGATAATTAATTTACTTAATAAATAGTAAGTGTGATAGATATAACAAACCAATTATATTTGAGCTTATTATGGCCCTACTTAAGACCTAAATTTGTAATTTATGTATTTTTAATTATAATAGCAATTATTTTATTTTAATTTAATACATACAAATTCTCTACTTAAACTTAATAAAAACAAACTAAAGTTTAATTCTTTTGTCAATGCAATTATTTTATTTCTGATATTTAAAATATATATTTAGAAAAAAAATAGAAAACAAGCAATTTTTTGGATGGTATTACAAATCATTAATTTTTAATTAGCAGATTAAAAACATTGATATGAATTTTATAATTAATAATAATTATATCAAAATATTAATTAAATAAAAATTGATTTTTTTAATTTAAAAAATAGTAATAGTTAAAAATAATAATATCTATTGATTTTGTTGAATTCGGACTTTTTGTGAATAAAAAACACAAATCAATTTATAATTGCTTACAAGGTATTTGTCTAAATTATTATTTTAAAGACTTTTTTTTTTTTTTGATAAAATTTATATAAGGACTTACGTGTTAATTCATAAAAAAAACTTTAC